TTCATTATTAAGCCTTCAGGTCATGTCAAGGATGGTGTTAGGAATTCAGTAGGTGCTGATGCTTTAAGATGGTAATAAAACAGACTGTGATTGTTACATGTAGGAGACACTTCCTGGACCTCGTCTTGGTCCAAGAAGCCAATATTTATAATCCCAAAGTTACGTTATTGGAAACCCATCAAGTTGATTCCAATCTACCACTTACAATGCTACCCACAGCGAAAATAAAGACACTAAATTATATTTTCAATCATCAGGGAGTCAAGGGGCTCTAAGTCCAGCCACGAAGATGGCTTTCCAGAACAAGAGCGCGACCCAGGGCCTCATCCGGTTTTATTCAATAGGGGAGTGGCTTGAGGATTGACTGAGAATTGTGGGAAAGAGACTACTATGAGCTGAGCTAGGTGGGTGACCTAAATTTAGCTCTGCAACATGCAGAGAGAGTAATCTGCATTATATAGTATCTAATGTTTTGGTAAGTCTGGTGCTTCAGCTTTGGTGTAGCCTTTCAAGTCCCAGGAAGTCATAGCCTCTGTCTCGAGGCTCGATCCCAGCTGGCGCCACGGGAGCATTAGCTCTACCGTCCTGTCTCAACCCGGCTCCCATTAAAGAGCAGCAGGTATAGGTTACCAGGGAAACACACACGTCACCTTCAAAGACTATCACCAGCACCTCAGCTAGACCAATACACCTTGCTTAAGGCCAATTGAAAGATAAACAGAAGTCCTAGCCAGCTCTGTACCTAACAATGCAAGTAAATAGGGTCGGGCTCAGTCAAAATGGAGACAATCGCTCTTCTTTCAAGGAGAGCTGCTCAGGTGGTCCTCCACAGTTACAAAGGATTTAAGCTTCATTTATGAGTTATCACATTATTTTTTGCAAAAGAATTGATAAAGCAAGTAACTCTGCCCTGATTGTTACAGGATGAATGGCTCCTTCTTGTGTAGAATGTATACTCTTTCATAAGAATTTTAAAGCATGTAACTGGCTTAGTTCCACCCAGTAATGATAAAACTAGTCCTAAAATCTGAAAATATATTAAGTGCTTAATGTGAGTTAAGCTTTAATATATATAGTATTACAGTTCAGTAGGCCATTGTGAAGGGATTACCATTGGTTGTGCTGTACCTTTGGTTTAGGACAATTTCATAATCAATAATTCTTTTTTATAACAATCCTAGGAATATAAGATTGATACACGTCTTTTTTCCTTCTTTTTCTATTTTTTTGAAGCAGGAGTTGCAGCGTGTTAAGTCCAGGACCTCACGCTTGCTTGGTGTGTACTCTACTACTGAGCTATACTCCCAGCCTTTTGGTTGGATTATACTAATTTTAAACTTTAGAAAGTTGAAACTAACTCCTAAGGTCAGTTAAATAATGCATCCGTAGATGCAATCTTTGGAAAGGTCAGGGGTTGATTTATAATCCAGTTTTTCTTGTCTTGAGCTCAGTGCACTAAGCATTGTGCCACGCTGGATCCCAGAAAATACAGCACAAGGACTGTCACTTTCACTTAAGTTAATAGTTTTTTTCACATTGGAAGATCAGCTCAGTCAAATGCACGTAATAGACACCTCAGTCCTACATTCCAAGGTGGTCTGTCTATTCCATTACTTATCATATTATTCCATTATCATTTGCTTTCAAACTGTTATTTAACTCTGGATTTTATAAAAGTCCTCACAAACATTGTATCTGACAGAGAATGTACTTGAGCCACAGAAGAATGTAGAGGGCAGAATTTACAGTTATCTTCACACTCCATGAGAAGTGTTATGGTTACTATCTAAGGTTCAGTCCAGGCCATTTTGAAAGGATTTTCATTGGTTGTGCTATACATTGATCTGGGGCAATTTCTAATAGTAGATGCTAATGCTTTTAGATGGTAATAAAACAGACTGTGATCATTGCATAGGATTTAAGCTTCATTCATGAATTATCGTGTTATTTTTGCAAAAGAATTGTTACAGCAAGTAACTGTCCTAATTGTTACAGGATGAATGGGCCCTTTTTGTGCAGACTATATACTCTTTCATAAGAGTTTTAAAGTATATAATTGGCTTAGTTCCACTCAATAATGATAAAAGTTGTCCCAAAACGTGAAAATATATTAAGTGCTTATTACTCCATATCAATTGTTTTCAAACTGTTTGAAAGCATCTGATATTTACTGAAAGCTTCATGCCATCTTGGGTGGGACCTTTGGGAGGTCACTGCATTATACTGACGGGTTATAGCTGACTTGCTATTAGGAGGTGGGTCCTGGTGGGAAAAGCCAGGTCTCTGAGTGCATGACCCAAGGGTTATACTATATATCCCTTCCTGGCTCCTCCCTTCATTCTCTGCTTCCTGTCTGACACACCAAAAGCAGTTCTTCATTAAGCTAGTCTACCAATTCATCTGCCTTGGAGCCAGACAACTATGGACTGAAATGTGAGGGGGTATTATAGATATTGCATTTTTCTTGTAACATCCAAGTCAATATGAGAAAAGTTTACTAGAAAAAATCACCATTGAGACATTTTTTTGACAAGTTTATTGAACCTGAAGATTGGGAAAGAGATGTAGGTTGGAAATGCCTTTGTAGCACAATAGAAATACAGATGGACTGTTGGTAACTGAAACCAGGGATGTGGGTGGGGGGAGTATAGAGTATAGACTGCCTTGGAGTATAGACTGAAACCTCCACAAAAGTAGGCTAAAGCAAGCTAATCTGTATTTCTCAGAATCCTGTCAGGATCAGAGTATTACCCTGGGGAAAGATGAACTCTTTTAAGAGTCTAAGGTACTTGAATACACGACTTAATTGGAAATGAATACACCAAGAGTGAAATGGAGCAACAACTAAACTTTCATGTTCAAAGGAGGTCCTGCAGCGAAACTGTGAAGGGTAAGATGCCATTTAGGCCTTTGGAAAGTGAGAGGATGACATTGTTAATGTAGTAAACTAAGGCTTCAGTAAGACTTGTGGATTGATTACATTTCTCTAGGATAATTCCTCTAAAAGTGTTTTGTTGTCTTTTTATGCTGAGCACCAAACCCAGGGGCTTGTGTATATGTTCTATCGCAGAGCTACATCCCTAGTCCAAGAATTTCACAACGTTACACACTGTTGGTGTACTGTATCCTAGATAGGTTGTCCATCTTTTACAGACACACATGCATCTGTGCTCACGCATGCACTCACACCCACACATATGAGTACAGAAGAAGGAACTGGCTCTTCAAATTCAGGACCCGTGGCTGGAGGTTAGAAAATACAGATGTTTCTATTGAAAGCAAGCTATTTGAGCTGTAACATCAAGTGTGGAAGGAAAGAAAGTGACAGGAAGTTGCAGATAGGAAAGTAACCTTGCTTATTTCTGAGTTCACTATTGCCATCATTACAGGCACACTGTATTTTTATTTTTGCTTGTATCCTTTTATCCTTTCCTGTCTTTGTTCAGCCCATGTTCATTCTGCCAAACTAGTTTTCCTATACTCCTTTGTTACAGTATGTGTCTAGATGTTCTACCACAGCCTTATGCAGTCATGGGGCTGCTTCTAGAGTTAGGTTTTTTTTTTTTTTTTTTTTTTTTTTTTTTTTTTTCTTTTTTCGGAACCAGGGATTGAACTCAGGCCCTTGGCGCTTGCCAGGGAAGTGCTTATTCCACTGAGCCATGTCCCCGGCCCCTAGAGTTTTTGATTGATTCATGGTCCAATGCTGGGATTATGGGTTTCAGTAATATGCCCAGCCTGGGGTGGGTAGCCTGCATGCAACACAAAGAAGAGAAAGAGGCTTGCTTTCTGCTTTTCCTCCCTTTTTGTTCTTGCTGCTTTTGCTGTTTTCTGCTGCTGTGAACTTTGCCCTTGCCATGTGCCATTCTGCCTTGGAGTATAGACTGAAACATCCACAAATTGTGAGCTAAGTAAACTGTTCTTCCCTTTAGTTTTGGATGTCAGGTAGTCTTATCTCAACAGTGAGAAAAAAGTAATGGAGACACCCTTCATCTTTCAATACACTTTTGGCACTGCTTTTTGTTTCTCTCATTCAATTCTTTGTTCAAGACAAGAAGGGCCTGAAATGCTTTTAATTGGGGAACCATTTCAAAGGGAACTACCCCACAATGGAAAGGTGCACGGACTTTTTATATGATCATAAGGAAAGCCTTCTCAGAGTGGGAAGTGACAGCGCAGTTTGGTACAGGCCTTGTTAACCAGAGGACAGTACTACCAAAATGAACGTTTTTGTGGTTTGGTTTGACTTGGAACTGGGCCTAGAACCTAGGCCTGGCACAGGCCAGGCAAATTCTCTACAACTGAGACACAATCTCAACCTTTAAAAATAATCTCATTTTGACAGAGCCTTGCTAAAATTCCTAGGCTGGCCTTGAACTTGGGATCCTCCTGAGTAAGGAGCTGGGATTACAGGCCAAAATTTTTGTTTTGTTCCGTGGATACCAGCTAAGAGGCTAAGGCAACGCCCCTGCTTAGGATGAGATTGCTGGGTGGTAGGTGAGTCAGCAGGTAGGGAAAAATGCAAGGGCGGGGCTGGGGTGTCCTTAGAAGGCAGACACTTGAAATCTTACTGGTCCTGGTTTAAAGTGAACCACAAGTTTTAAAGCATGCGTTTGTGTAGATTTCTTACAACTGGAGACAGACAGACACCTTCCTTGTATTTATTCGACTCTTACACCCCACAACTGGCGTAGGGCACGAAGGGAAAAGATACCTTGTTAAGAAAAATAAGTGACACCTTCAACTGCACGGGCAAAGATTTTCAAAGTCCAACAGTAGTCAAAACACCATTCTTTACCCATAATGCTCAACTGAACTCTCTCCCTTTGTGATTTTCTTTCCGCCAAACCCTTCCCAGGAGCCAAAGTCCTCCCCGCATCTCCAGCACCGCCCCGGCGCTCCCCTGCCCACTTCCGGCGGTCACGAGGCCCCGCCCACCGGCCCGCGCCGCGCTCCGGCCCCGCCCCGGCCTTCGCGCCTTGAGCCGCTGGCCCCTCCCCTAGGCGTCCAGCCTGCCCAGTCGCAGGAACCGCTCGGCCGGGTCGGTCCGCTATCTGCGCCGCGTCCGCCGTTGCCGGAGTTCATCCGCTTCCCGCCCTCCCAGGTGCCGCCCTCGCTGCGGCGGGGCGATGCCGCGAAGCCGGCAGCCGAAGGTCCGTTCCGGGAACCAGCCGTGCCCCGCGCCTTCCATGGAGCCGGCGGGCGGCGGAGCCTGGGCCCACAGCCGCGCCGCCTTCGCCCGCCTGGAGCAGCTGCTGCGCTGCTCGCGCTGGTAAACACGCGCCCAGCGAGGGTGCCGCCGCCTCTCGGGGCCGGGGTGGGGGTGTGGGCGGTGGGTCGTGGGTCTTGGGTCTTGCTTTCCGCGCCTCTCGCCGCCTGCTTTCTGGCCAGCGGGAAAGGGGTCTGCGCAGCGATCCGCTCCTAACTCTCCGCTCCCCACCCCGTTCCCTTCCGTCCCGAACATTTTCCCGCCTCTGCTTTCAAACGGAACTCAAACGGTGGTTCCGGAGCGCTGGGCGGCGGGGCCGCCTGGGGGCGTGGCTAAGGCGCGCCTGGCCCCGCCCCTGAGGCTGCGCCGCGCTCCGGCCCCGCCCCCGCTCGCCGGTTCCCGGCCCGGGGCGCCCGAGTCCCGTGCTGCCTCCGCCTCAGGGATGTCCACCAGGACCCAGGTGTGAATGAGGGGTCGCGGCGGCTGTTCCTTGCAAGGCAGCCCTTCATGACTTTTTTTCTCTTGTAGCGTCTTTTGATATGGGAGGGCTAGATACCTTGTTACAGATAAATAAAAGATATCAGGGCACTGTTACTGTTTTTCATTTCCTTGTTTTGGTCCAAAGGCTGGGGCGGGTGGTGTGTGGAAATGTGGCTCAGTGACAGAGTGCCTGCTTAGCTAGCGCTTGTAAAGTCTGGGGTCTATTCCCAGCGCCAGGACAAACCCTCAAAATGTGCTGATGGTGTGTGCCCGCAATCTCAGCACTCTGGGAAGCTGAGGCAGGAGGATCTTAAATTCCCACCCCAGCCCGGGTAGATTGTAGGTTTAGGTATACAGGACTCACAGTAAGGATTGGGGATGTCACTTAAGGTTAGAGCGCCCTGGGTGATCCCCAGCACCCCTCATCCCAAATTGCCCGGGTGTTCTTGTGTTCCACCACTGAGCTACATCTGTAGCTTCCTCAGGGTTATTCCGTTGTAAGACATTATCATGAGTGTTTTAGCTTCGTTTTCTGTAGTTTTTTTTTTTTTTTGGTGTATAGAATCCAAGAAGGTTTGCAAAACTCAGCAAAGGCCTTTGTTTTCATTTCTTCTGGAAGCATCTAGTGAGCACCTGTTGCATGCACAGCTCAGTATTTCTGCGTGGAGATCATCCTGGTGGGTTTTATTTTTGCTTGTACCTGTCACAACTGTATTTTCTTTTTGGACTTTGTTTTGATTTTTCACCCAATTTCCAACTTGGGGTTAGTACTGTGTTACTTGCTCAGCAGCTTAAAAAAAAGAAAAAAGGAAAATGAAAGGATTTAACTGTCACCACGCTGTGCAGTTACATTTTGTTTTACAAAAATGACCTGTTTGACAATATGGCATCGTAACGCGGCTTGGGAAAAGTGGTGTTTTTGTTAGAGTGAGTGCATGAGGCATTGTGCATTGTGCATTGTGCATTGTGTGTGTTTTTCCAAAGCACATGGATTATCCATCTGAGAAGAAAAATTTAAAATTGGCACTTCTGGTTTTGGTAAAAATACGATAGTAATTCACACGTTAATAGTTCAACAAAAGTTAGACATTCAGATGGCATATTTCAGTTCGGAAACATAGTGTTCCACTCTGACCGTAGTCAGGCTGCCTGATTTTAGGTGCCAGCTTTGACATTATTGAGTGAACCAAATCATTCTTCTTTTGTCTCTGTAATTATTAGCTCAATCTCCGGGTGGATTTATTATTATTGATGAATGTACTGAGGACCTACAAAGTGCCAGACCCTGTTCTGGCTGTTGTGTTGTTGAACAAAGAAAAAATTCCAGCTTTTATAAAGTTTATATTCTGTAGGAAGGTAGGAACTAAATAAAAGTACACATACAGATTATTGGTGTGATTGTCATAGAATAAATAATAATTAACAGGTGGCATAAAAATGCAAAAAGAGATGGCCTCTGCTTACTGAATGATTCAGAAGAGTGCAGGTAATCTATATGAATATCTATTATCTATAGGTTATTATAAGATCCAGCAACGCTCCTTTCACTTTTTAATCACTTTCTAAATGTTTTTCTGCCTTCTAACTGTACAGAATTGAGAGTAAGAGCCAAAAGACTTGAAGGTAGACAGGTAAGCAGCCCAAACTTTTATTTATATATTTTTGGTATGGAAATTGAACCCAGGACCTTGCGCTTGCCGGGCAGGCGCTTGTACCACTGAGCTATGTCCCTGGCCCTCACACTTTTGTCTCATCCAGTTGGCTAGAGAGAAGTATGGAATGCCAGCATGTTTATTGTATTGTATGAACCAGTGAATGCTGAACTAAATTTTAAACATTTCTTACACTGTACATTTAGGCTTTGCAGACCACAAATAGTTTCTATTTTTTTTCCTTAAAAATGTAAAAACATTGTTTGCTGAAGGACTGTATTGAAAAGAGCCTGCTGGATTGATTTGGCTCACAGGCTTAATACACACTTTTAATGGGACCCTGTCTTAAGTTTAAAAATCCTTTTCTAACACAGGGGATCTTATATAGATAATATAGCAGTGATTTTGCTCTCATCTGATTGTCTGCAAGTTTGGCACTACCTGGAGTGACTAAATCATGGACAGTTGCAGCATACCCTAGAAGAAAAATACATCCCTTCTCGCCTCCCTGTCTTTGCCCTCACAGTTACCTGATATGTTGCTGGAGCAGCCCAGTGAGGGCTGCTTCCTTCGAGCTTCCCACCAGTCAGAGGGTGTCATATTACTTGAAATTTTGTCAGTATGTCTTTTTACAGAGTTTCAAAGTTCTACCCAGTGGCTAGTGATTACCCCGATTACCCTCACATGCAGCTCGCAGCTGTCATCTATCTGATGTTCCCAGCTGTCACCTGTCTTGTGTAGCACATTGGTTCTATTTTGCAACAAGCGTTACTTGCTGGTGAGGGTACATTGGCTGCAATTCAGGACATCCTTTCTTGACCTTTAACATGAATATGGCTTCAAGGTGAAGCTGATGAAAGTGTTCAAGAGGCCAGATGTGACATTTGTGTTAGGGCCAAGCCTTACACCCAGATAGAAAGAAGCTATTTAAAGAGTTGGAAAAATGAGGCAGGAAGACTTTAGCATTTGAGAGGCTGGCAGAAAACACTGTAGGAGGCAGGAAATGATAATAGGAGCAGCCCTATAAAAGCCCCTGGTGTCATGTGATGGTGCTTTGTGAATTGAAATAATTAGGGACCTCTTGGATTCATTTTTGGGGTGAGGGGATTTAGCATCTGTGACAGTTGTATTTTGGGATTTTAAAATCACTTTTACTAAAAATAAATACTACAACTTTTAAGAGTACCTCCACCCCCCTCCACACACATGCACATTTCTCCTTTGAGGCAGCATAGCCCAGTGGTTAAGAGTGTGGGTTCTTGAATTGAATCAGATGCCCTGGTTTCAGATCTTGGATCAGTGATTTGGAGCATGCTCTTTGATCGTTTATGCTTTCTTTTCTTTATTTGCAAAGTGAGCTAGTAGGAGTTTGTACCTTACTAGGTTGTTATAATTCAGTAAGCTCTTAAACAGGATTCTTATAACCTTGCCTGTTACCTGGTAAGTGCTAGTTAATGTTAGTAAAGGATGAATTTCCAAAAGCATTCAGCTCTTGACCTTCTTGCAGGACTTTTCAATGTGGAGGCCAGTGGCCCTCACATGGTGTGATTGCTCCTTTTGGTTTGCATTGGCATTGGTTATTCATTAGAATAAGAAACCATGGAGGCTGTGCATTAGTGGTGATTGATGCACTGTCCACCCTTGGGCGCGTGCTTAGTTTTGAAAGGCAAAATGTGTCTACGGTTTAAGGAGAATTGTGGTGAAGGACGGGGATATGGAGAAGAGTACCTTGGTGAGTGTAGGAAGAAAATTTTATGAAATTTAGAATGGGACTGTAAGGTACAGATAGATTTTTGTTTTTTTAAATGTGTTTGGTTGTTACAGGGTCTCACTATGCAGCAGACTCATAGTGATCCTCCTGCTGTCAGCCTCCCCAGCACTGGGATTATAGGCGTGCCTCACCTTACTGGGCTCTGACCTGCTCAGTCTGCTCTGGTGTGGCATTGAATCATGTTCCCTGCACTTGCCTAAGCTTGCCTAAACAGGCACTTTAGTCTGCTGAGCTATCTTGCTGGCCCAGGTAGGTTTTTATAAGTGGAACCATTGCTGATGATGTGGAGGGATTGTTGCAAGTAACTGTACCTTAACGTACATTAATGAGGAATTGCATAGCTGAGGGGTGGGTCAGGTGGGCAGGGAGTTAAGATAGGGTCAGATTGCTTAACAATCAGTAGCCTAAAAATAAAACGGTCTAGTGACTCATGTAGTTAGCCTCCTAAAGAATGCAATTAATGTAGCTTTCCTGTATTCTGTGGTCATATCTGTACATGAGATTTTTAAAGATGCTTCCAGTTTGCTGATTTCATATTGGTGTCCACTGGATGTAACACTTTCATCAAAGTTTAACATACATGTTAAAAGGGGCACAGATTGCTGGTGTTCAGGCTGCATCATATCCTCCAAATTTACCTATTTGTGGGATTTATATAGCATGTTGAGTGATGTTTCTTTCAGTTACATTACTCATTTTGTAAAGACAGGTTCACATTTTTACAGATACATAGGTTGTTAAATTAATATGTGAAAAAAACAGATTAGGTAGGGTCGTATTTTCAATGTGGTGACATCAAATTGGCCTAGTTAGTTCACCCGAATTGCCAGGACTCCTGGGGCTAATTACTTGTACTGAATGGTAACTAAGGTCTCAGGACAGATGGAAATGTAGGCCTTCTAGGATTTAGAGCAAAACTGCCACCCACATAGTCCCCTTGTGGGTAATCATAGTATAAAGTGACTGACTACATGAATGTTATGTAAGGTGGTGACTGCTGGAGAAAAACTTGCGCGACACATGGAACACTTTTACATTTATTTAGTTCAATTAAACCAGTGAGTTAAACAATAGTGGAATAATAAAACTAGTTAATGTATTACTTTGGAGCAAGGTCTTGCTGTGTTTCCCAGCCTGATCCTGAGCTCTTGGGAAGATGATCAGTTACGCAGACTGTTTCACTGTGGAGGAGAGGGAGTAGCAGAGAGAGCGGCCAGCTGTGAGTCAGGCACACATGGCGTTCCGTGGCTCATCTAGCTTTGCCCATAGGAGGGGCCGTTGTAGTCATTATAGAGTTCTGTTGCCCACTTGGCTATTGGATATTTATTTAACGTTTACTGATTCAGAGCCATTAGACATAATTTAAAGAGTTTCCAGGCCTGGGAGATAGCTCGTAAAGTAAAAATGTTCTTGTGTGATTTACTTTATTCTGGCTTACAAAGTAACTGTACAGGACAAGACGTTTCCATATCATCAGTGTTCACCTCGTTCATTGAAGACTTTCTATCTTTAGTCTCCTAAAGATGAAGACATAGTTTAATTGACTTGGAGAACCTGTATGTTTTTTGTTAAACACATTGGTCCACAATTTAGAAACACTTGAGAATTCTGTAAAATGTAAAAGTTATCATATTAAATACCTTAGGGGGCTTAGTAATTTAAGATTATCAATTTCTCCTGTACCCTTTAAGAGATTCTCTATGTATAGGATTTGTAGCCTCAGATAAGAGGGTACTACATATCAAATAGATCCATCATAGCTTATTTAGCTTTTTCCTTACTTATTAAAAACTTAGGATTTTTTCTCCCCTCTCTTGCTATAATATGCAGTGATGGAATAAATATCCTTGTCAGATGCCTTTTGACAATTTTTTAATATTAAAATTACATATGAACTTATTTGATCAAATCAGTAGGACAGAGACTGTAGTGAACACGTTTGCCTCATTCCAAGTTCTGTACTCTACACAGAACACATCTTTTCACATTTTCAAGCATTTATCTCTACATTTCCAAACACTTTTTATATTCCCATTTTCTTTTGTAGATATTGTGAATTAACTTCCATACTTCTGCTTTTAAAGATGAGCTTTCTTATGAGCTATTACCTTTTAACATGCTCTGTAGATGATCGAATATAAAATTGGTAATACAAAATAATTTTGCATTATTTTTAAGGCTTCACTGCACTATTTGGTAGCATTCTTTTTTTTTTTTTTTTGTATATTTAGGGAAGGGTCTACAGGGTGTTCAGGGTCTCACTACTAGATTGGACTCATAGTGATCCGCCTGTTTACAGCCTCCCAAGAGCTGGGATTACAGGCCTGCACCACCACGCCCAAGTCTCAGTTGCTGTCTCAGCGCTCTGGGGGCAGGCTGGCATGGCAGGCCTGGGATGGAATCTCCAGCCCCTGCACCTTCTCTCCTGTTTCTTAATTTCTGGAAGCTTTTAGAATCTTACCTAGTGTTAGAGCATGTATCTAGATGTGCCCCTCAAGTCTCTCACAGTCTTAGGGCATTTTGGAGTTCCCTTGTGAATGTGGATGAAGGGTGTGTGAAGGAAATGAGTCCACTAAATGGAATTAGCGTAGTTCTGGGTGTGGCCCAATGTATTTACTAAAGACCCAGGCCCCACTGTGGGTGTGGGGGGCCCTACCCAGAGGGCTTGTAGCCTGGAAGGGATAAAAAGGAAGGGAGGCTTGCTGTGTTCCCAGCCTTCTGCCTGCCTCACCTTGAAGTTTCCTCTCTGTGGTGGAATTCTGTCATGGTACCCCTTGGCTCCAGCTGACTATGGACTGACACCTTCACAGTCTGAGCTGAAGTCTTCCTTTTAACTTTGGATGTTAGGTGTTTTGTCTCAACAATGACATCTAGGCACCTAGATTTCTTTAGTTTTGAAGTTTCCTTGTTTGCAAATATCTAGTATGCCTGAAAGATAAATTCCTGGCAGGGGAATAGTATGAAAAGTTGAGTTTACATCACTTAGTTTTAAGAAAAATCCTTTTACTCAGGGACATCTCAGCTAAGCTATAACCATTCCTAGAAAGTTTTGCTGTGACACAGCTTCTTGCCAATCTGTAGATTTTTCTTCTTGGAGTGCTCCCATTGTATGTCAGTTATTTTATTTTTTAGTACATGTTTGCAGTACATAATGATTACATTCATGTTATGTCCGTCTTTCAGAGTCCCCTTGTAAGCTTGCTTGCGTATCATATATGTACTTCTCACATATTCCATGTGTTCCCTCATCTGTTAACCACTGCAAAAATAGAGCCTCACTCACTAATTGGAATAATTCTACTGATCACTTATTTATAGATATTTAGTCACTACTAATTAAGTGACAGCATTAGGTTGGTAGAATGAAGAGTAAGAGCTATAGCTAGAGTTCAGAGTCATCTTAGGAAGGAAATTTAAAGAGTAGGAATGGAATCAAGGCATTGAGACAAGTATTGCCAGAGAAAACCAAGTAGGCTGTGGACTGCATCCTGGGGGCCGTGGCAGCATTGAGAGGCAGGAGAAGAAGCAACTGAGGAAATGCTGAAATAGGCGGGTGTAGGTGCAGCAGGAAAGTAGAAACTCAGTGGAGGGAGGGAGGGGCTTTGGGAAAGAAGGCAAGGCGAGCACTCCTTGCTGTGTGTGACCAGGCACATGCGCGTACCAGTTAGCTTCAGTGAACTTAGGGAGGCTTATGTTGTTTCGAGTAGTCTTTTCTTTATTGGCTTCTTTACTTAGGGATCATATAATTGTTTTGGGAGAGGTACAGAGATATAGAAACTGCCAGTTTTTAGGCATACATTTGTACATTTTTGAAATTACATTATTAATATCCTGAATAGAAGAGAGAGAAGCAGTCTTGGGGCCTGTTGGGTGCACTGATACATGGCTAGGTCATGAGCAGGATTGGGGTAAAGGTGAAGATGGCTTTAGGTAATAATGCCTGTGGCCTAGGTTGAACGTGGCACCAAGGAGCCAGGAGGCTGCTGAAGAGAGTTGCCTCAGGGTGGGGAGCCATCAGGTTGGGCAGCAGCATTCAATAAAAAGAATAGAGAGAATGTATTTGACAGGAGCTCTGTAGCACCACTGTTGACGTCCCAGAAGTGTGAATATGAATTAGAATATTTACCACACTTGTTGGGGAAAGAAGAGGTTTAATTACCAGAATTACAAGTCTTATTTTTATCACTATGTTCTCTGTAGTGTGATAGATAAACCAGATATTGTGAGCTTTTAAGAAGTAATAGCTTTTATAATGTCACTGAGCAGCATTTTCAATATTTTAGGAATAATGTGGCTCAGTACTCCGTTATTAGTGCTCTTTCTGAAAGCGCAGTTTCACTTTAAGGTTAGTATTTATTGAAATGTGCAGTGTGATACTTTTAATCTTTTAATAAATGTGGAGTACTTTTTATTGATATGTGCTAGTCTGTAGAGATAATTGGAGAATAGTGGTATAAATATCTAAAGGTCTGGGGTTAGTACAATAAACCAAGTGCAGAAAACGTTCATCCTTTAAAGGCTTTACTGGCCTTGCTGCATTATGTCCACTGAGTTGAACGACTTACTGTGTGCTTATTAAGAAGTACCAGTACCTTCCTAGAACTGTCAGAGGTTGCAGGTATTTTCATGAACAACAATGGGAGTATTTGGTTTCTTTCTTCTTCAGCCAGTGTGCCATAGTTAGTTTTTGGACTGGTTCCTTAGCGATTTTTGCTTGCATTTGCTTAATTCACAGCCACCTTGCTGTGAACTGAAAGAATGGCTAGGGTTTGTGTTTTTTGACAGGACACCCATGAAAAATAGATGGCTACTTCATAGTGAGAAACATGTATTTTTGTACGAGAAACCATGAATTCTTATGGTACAGGAGACTATGTTTTGTTTATCTGGGGGCAGTCCTTGTTTATACATCTTATCTAGTTGTCACCTTTGCCTTCACTCTAAGAAACATTCTCATTTAAACAGTATTTTGATCATTGTCCTTGTGGGTCACATTTTGAGATTTAAGATTTTTGCTTGAAATTGTTCAGTGAAGATGTATTTTAGCAGTTAAGAGAAGCCAGTGGATGGTTTTGTGACTAAGAAGTTTAGAGATACATGAATAAAGTTGTTCCTTTTTCTAACTCGTAACATTATCAATAGTGCTGTAACTTGTCCTGAGATTCATAGTTGCAATTTGGATATAGCAGTTGCATTTTGAGTGTGTTACCAGGGAATGACAGCCTTTCAAATGAATGCACCATTAGTATTTCCTGCTCTGACAAGGAGAGAAGTATGGGTCTGCGCCCTCTTGGACTTGGGAAATTGTGAGTGCGAGACATTTCCTACCAAAGAACTAAATCTTGGCTTTTTCCTTTCTTCACTCAGCACCCGTATTCTGAGGGAGCCTGTGTGCTTAGGCGGATGCGAGCACATCTTTTGTAGGTAAGTGTAGCTTGTATGCAATGTGCCTGTGTTTCTTTTCAGATAGCAATCCTGTGACGATGTTGCTTACTGTTGATTTTCATGTTTGTGTATCATTCATAGCCTATAACTGACTACATGATCTTATTTGGATCCTTACTACAGTCTCATTTTACATATAAGAAAATTATGCTCATAGATGATAACTTGTCCAAAGTTACACAGCTTAGTCGAATAGCTTTGCCAAGATTGAGGGGGAATTAATGTCTATACTCCAAATGTGTTTTTTTAAAAGACTATCTTTCAGTTTTGAATCTGTAAATGAGTCTAGTTCTTATAGGTACTGGTTTCCTGACACTGGCATGGCAAAGTATCAAGGCCTGGGTAATGTAGACCAACAGATATTATCTAAACACTTCTAGAGTCGAGAAGTTTAAAATCAGTGTGTTGGCAGGGTTTGTTGCTTTTGGAAGGTTGTGAGGGAGAATCTGTTTTGTGCCTCTATACTAGCTTCTCATGGGTTGCTAGTAATCCCTGCTATTCTTTGGCTTTTACTTACATTACTTCTACCTTTCCTTTCTGGTTCATGTGACATTCTCCCTGTGTGCATATTTCTCTCTATGTTTAAATTTTCCTTTTTTTTTATACTAGTTCCTGTTGGATAAGGGCTCACCCTAATGATCGCATTTGAACTTGATAATCTACAAAAACAATATTTCCAAATTAAGTTGCACTCACAATCACTGGATGACCTCATCTTTTTGGGACAATCACTGGATGACCTCATCTTTTTGGGAGGACACAGATTTCAGTATTGACAGGGTTGTGGTAGTTTGAAGGTTCGATTTACCCTTGGCATCCACAGTTTGGGTCAAAGTATTTTAAAAAAATTGCATCTGTATAGAACATGGATAGACTTGGTATTGTTTCCTAGATAATACTGTATCAATGTTTACATTTGTTATGGTTTGTGTATAGGTGTCCCCCCAAAGCCTCATGTAATCTTGGGGCAGCTTCTGGAATTTGAGATTGATTATTGTGGGTGTGGATGCTGCACCTGCCCTGGGGCAGGTAATTTGCATCACAATGTAAGGAGGGGAGAGAAGCTAGCTTCTTGAACTGCTGATACTCCTTTTGCTCTCTTTTTTTTTTGGCGGAACTGGGGATTGAACTCAGGTCCTTGCGCTTGCCAGCCAAGCGCTTTTCTACTGAGCCATTTCCCTGGCCCCCTTTCTCTCTCTCTCTCTCTCTCTCTCTCTCTCTCTCTCTCTCTCTCTCTCTTTCTTTTTTTTTTTTTCTTTTGCTCTCTTGCTCTTTGCCATTACCATGAAAGGTCGTACTTTGCCTTAGAGTGAGCTGGGTGTGGGCTGAAACCTCCAGTAACTGAGCTAAACAACTTTTCTTCCTTCATTTTGCGTGTCAGGTATTTGTCCCAGCAATGGGAGAAGAGTAACTGAGACAACAGTGTATATGTATTTTAAGTAATATAGAGATGAATTAAAGTATATATTAAAAATATGTGCAGGTTATGTTCAAATACTGTACTTTTTTGTTTAAGGGACTTGAATGGCCATAGATTATGGTAATCATGGTGTGTACAGAGGTGGGAAAGTCTTGGAACTAATCTCTTGTGGATACTGAAGGATTAATATTTTATATAAGTCCTTGATAATAAAAATCGATGTACTCTCTAAGATAATAGTTCATTTAAGACAAATGGCAGAGATAACAAACTTTGTGGTCTCAGGTTTCTTTTGGTGGTGCTAGAGCTTGAACCAACGAGCTTTGTACTGAAATCTGTGCACAGCCTTTTTTAAAAAATTGGAAACAGGTTCTCACTAAGTTGCCTAAACTGAATTTAAACTTGGCCGCCTCCTGTCACAGTCTCCAGTAGTGCTGGGATTTCAGGCATACAGTAGCTGCTCGGGTCTCACATCATTTTATACTCTCAAAACTGAGGACCACAAAGTACTCTGTGTGTGTGTGTGTGTGTGTGTGTGTGTGTTCACCATAAAAAACTGAAATTCTTTAGCCTCCCATATCCTAGGATTACAGGGATGTGCCAACATGCCTACGTGGATATTCTCTAAAAGAAGTACTAATTTTTTTTAGGTTAAACACTGTGGACTCTATCAGTATATTTTATACTGTTAAAAGCATTGGTTTATACTCAACTTCAAATTGATATTTTACCCAGCATGATTTTATGATAATCAGCCTTTTGAAAATATTAGCTCATTGGATTATATAGATCTGCTGAGAAATTATGTATTTTTGCACAGTTCTGAGCTAATGTCTATATAATAGTTTTTGTTGTTGTTTTGAGACAAGGTCTCTACATAGCCCAGGCTCATCTTGAACTTGAGACCTTCTGACTCAACCTCCAAAGTACTGGGATTACAGCCATGTACTACCTGGCAAAAGGCCACTCAGCCTTGTGTTTAATAAGTTGAGAATGTTACAAAATAAACACAGTATGGGTTGCGTATCCCTGGCCCAGTAATCTGAAATTCAAAATGTCTGAAACCTGTGAGAGTTTTTGAGTACTGATGAGCTGCTGAGAATGTTTCAATACTCAGAAATTTTCAGGTTTGCAAATTAGGGAGGCTACCTGGTGAAGTGTGTGCAAATATTCCCATCCATAAAAACTCCAAAGTTTGAGGCATTTCTGGTCCCAAAGCATTTCAGGTGGGGGCTATTGAGCTTGTACGTAAAGCAGACCAAAGTAGTTGTGCAGTGTTGGACAGGTAACTTAACTAACTGGATTTTTTTCTTTCTTTTTTTTTTTCTTCTGAAAATGAGCTGGTAGTTCATAAGGAATGGATTGTGTTTTACTGGTATTCCTTGGGTAATATGCAAACATTAATTGAAATTGCCTGAGTAATTATTTTGCATATTTTTTGTGTTGGAATTCCAAGTTAGAGTTCTGTTTTGTTTTGTTCTGTTTCGAAGTAAGATCTCACTTTCTTACCCAGTCTGATCTAGATCTCTTGACTTAAGTGTTCTTTTTGCCTCACTCAGCCTTGTGAGTAGCTGTGACCATACTTAATGTACTTGGCCCAGTTAGAATTCTTTACTACAAGCAGAGGCACTCATAAGAGTTCCTTTGCTAAAGAAATGAGATGTTTGTTGGACTTGATGATCTCAAAGGTGTGTCCCAACCACACTATTCATTTTTACCTTTTCGTGAATTGTTTTGTGTCAGGAATCATGGTAAGAGCCAAAGACACAAAAAGTAGAAATGCTATGGGTTTGTTTGTTTGTTTTTGAGGCTAGTTCATGTAATTAGAATGAATTCTTGTGCCTACAAAAGAATGGGCTACTTAAGAAGCTATTAGTTGAGGGAAGATATGGCTTTTATAATTATCATTCCTGATTCCCACTAGCACCCATGTTGGGAGGCTAACGGTGGAGTAGAGTGCACAGAATTTTGCTTTGAAATTCAAAGCTATGTTTCAGGGGAGATTGTGGGCTCCTGATTTAGTTACTGTTTACTCATTGCTGGGACAAATACCCGACACTAAAAATGAGGGAAGAAAAGGTTTATTTAGCTCACAGATTGTGGATGTTTCAGTCCATATTCTGCTGGCTCCAAGGCAAATGACAGCAGTTCATGGCAGCAGAAAACAATGATTGCGAGCAGAGGAGGAGCAGCAGCTGCGGTGCCCATCAAGCCTGTCTCTTCCTTCTATGCTGACTGCGAAGACCACCACTCCACTGTGAAGATCATAGCTCCTCTGTAGACTGGGACTTCTCCAAGGAAGTGGGGCAGGGCGGCCAGGAAGCCTCTCTTAACTCCTTTATATACATCTTTTGTGCTAAGTCACTCTGGGGTGGCCCATGCCCCCAGGGTGGAACCAATGCACCCCAGGTTGGGCCTTACCCACTTGCAGGGTTGGGGAGGGCCCCATGCCCAGAACTGCGGATTCAGCCAAGTTGACACAATGTATCAACTGCCACAGCCCCTGAGCTCCTATTTATCTATTTGGTAGGGAGGACTGAACTTGGGATCTTGGGCTGGCCAGGCAGGCACTTATTCTACTCATATCCCCTTCGCCTCAGCTCCCCTTTAAACAAAAATATGTATTTGCAAACCATGTGTATCTGCAAATGTTAGGAAAATCTTCAGTCCTAACTATGAGATAACCTGATGTGACTGAGTCTATAGATTATAAAATTGTATGAAAGAGTCAAAAGATCTTGTTCCAAAAACTATTTTTAAACCATTATACACTTATCCAAAAACAAAAGAAAAGGTACTTTTTTGCTTTCTTTGCAATGATTTTAAGTGTTTACATAAAATGGAGTATTATGGAGATTAGGTTAGAGGAGGTTAGGATTGTGCCTGCCTTGCATTACACACTGTCTGTTTACACTCTGCACTATACTTAGCCCTTTAGCTGCTAAGGTTTGTTTGCAAGGAAAAATTATGCAGACTGTGTGAAGCTAAATCAAGCCTCAGAGTAGTTTTGCATCAGATTACATGAGTTGAGATTTAGATTTTATGTGTTTTGTGCTTTGTAAGCATAGCATTTTAACAAGTACTTTACAAGTTACCATTATATGTTAGAACAACCTCTGTACTTTTGTTTTAAACTGTCTATTGTATTTTAAGTGGTTGTGTAAGTGACTGCGTTGGAACCAGATGTCCAGTATGTTCCACCCCCGCCTGGGTCATAGACATCAAGATAAACAGACAGTTGGACAGCATGATTCAGCTTTGTAGTAAGCTTCGAAATTTGCTGTATGGCAATAACTTTTCAGGTAAGAAATGTTACTGTCTCTTATTAAATAGCTGAGTAATTCATATTGGTCACATAATGTAAAGATCAATCAGCAATTGTAAGATTTATAATTTTATTGTTGTTTTTGCTGTTTGACTCATTTTGAGAATGACAGCAAAAAGTTCTCCCTTGTTTTATAGATGAGAGACCAAGGTTCAAAAAGAATAAGTGATCTTGCCTAGTCACCTGTGTAGTTTGTATGAGAAGCATAAGAGATAGAGCTTCTTCTTTCTTTCTTTCTTTTTTTGTTTATTTGCTTTTTCTTTCCTGTTTTTTCTTGGTTTTTATTTGTGTGTTTTTTGAGACAGGAGCTTGCTATGTGTTCCATGCTGCCCTTGAACTCCCTATGTAGGTCAGGGTGGGCTCAAACTCATGGCAGCCTTCCTGCCTCAGCCTTCCAAGTGCTGGGAGCCCTTTTTTGTTTTTGATTGTTTGTTGAGACACTTTTTAACTACCTTTAATGGCTGCTTTTTGTAGTTATCCCATCTCTGTAGAATATATGTGAAATAATGATTTTGTCATTAAGAGTGCTTCGTTCACTTAAATATACTTTTGCAAGACAGTATACAACGTTCTTCCATGGATCACTTTTAGACTGAATTAATTAGATGAGCACATTTTGAAAGAGTAAAAAATCTAATGCTCATTTTCTTTTCTATATGAATAGGAGTTAATGTTTTTCAAATTGTTCTTAGACTCTGTATTAACTATATATCTTCCTATTGTGCTTTCTGCTGAGAACTAATTAACTGTGAAAAGAAAGTAAAGTGTTTTGAATACCATAACTGGATATTGGAATTATCTTTTATTGACCAGATCATGCCATGATAGTATGTGCTGATAGGAGAACCTTCTCTTGCTTGGCAGGATACCAAGGATGATTGGCAATACTGATACAAAATTGTTGGCTTTCTTTTTCTAAATCTTTTGTTCTTTGAATTCTGAAAGGAAGTATTACTGTCAACTACTAAGGATGAAGTTGATTAAACAAAGAAAGACAGAAAATATTTTGAGTTTTACTGAACACAGGTCTTTATTTTTAAGAGGAATTTAAAATGTCTACCTGTGAAAGCTTTCCATCTGCTTTTTTGGGTCATTATATTAGGCTTCACTTTTTTTTTTTTTTTTTTTTAATGATTTGGTACAGGGTCTACGGGGTCTCACTACGTAGATGGGATTCATAGTGATTCTGTTTTCAGCCTCCCAAGTGCTGGGATTACAGGCGCACACCACCGTGCCCAGTCTGGGATTACAGGCGCATACCACCCTACCCGGTCTCAGTTGCTGTCTCAGCACCCCGGGGGCGGGCGTGGGGCCAGCACTGCTGGGGAATCAAACCCTGACTGCTGTGCTGTGCCTAAGCAGGCACTTTAGTCCACTGAGCTATCTGGCTGGCCCAAGCTCCACTTTTTAAATGATAGAATATGCTATTTTCAAGTTTACTTATTTTCATTTTATACACCTTCTTAAGATACTTTTTGAGATATAATATTTTGGTTGTAAACCCTTTTAAAAATACAAGAGAAGAATTTTCAGTGTTTGTTTTCTGGTTGAAAAGTTTGTTGTTTAATCTGTCTCCCCTCATCCCCCGTGGGTCTGTGGATTAATTCAGGGATTTTCAGTCAAAAGTCCCCACAGCTTTGGCAGTACTTGGAGTTGTGTGCAGAGCAGATCAGGGGCCTGTGAGTAAACTGTACCATATGAACAGTATCTGTGTTACAGTGGCTTTCATCAGATTTTTAAGAGTGTAAACTGCAAGGCTTGTTAGCCATGCACTGAAATTTGGGGTGCTACTCTGAGGATCTCATTTTGATTTAACTTTTCTCTAGTTACTGTATAATAAAAATTGAGTAGTTTAGGCAAAAGGTTATAAGCTTGAGATTAAGATTCACAGGTGATTGGTTCTAATCCTTCTGAGGTCTGTGAGGTAGATTCTGTTTTAGCAGCATCTCCTTGGCTTTTACCCAGCTATCTTCCTGTTCTCATGATTATCTCCTTGTGCAAGTGTTTGTACCAACTTATTTTATAAGGATCCCACTAATAATGTACTAGGAAGGGTCCACTCTAGGATACTACACATCATGTTCTTAATTATATCTACAATGACTCTGTTTTCAGTTAAGTGTATATTCTGAGGGAGTAGGGGTGAAGGCCTCCAAGTGAATTTAGGGAATGAGGGGAGAGACATAGTTTAGCACGTAATAAGCGATATGACATTCTCAAAGATGAAAAATTCAGGGTAGAGAAACCTTTACAGGTTAACTACCATCAATCATGGCATGCTGGGGTACTGTGTACTGTGGTGTACAAAGAAGAGTAAGATAGACTTCTTTTTAAAAATGTTACTCTTTTCCCAAAATGTAATGAGTGATGTTTAAATCATTAGTATAGTTTTCACATAAATCCCTTCATGCTTCGTAATTAAGGAAGATAATTAGGATGGTTGAGTTTAGGACAAGTTTCTGGGTGGGGCTCTTAGCATACTGCCATATCTAGGTAGAGGTGAAGCTGGATGAGAGAATTTGGATTATTCATTTTTCAACTGGCTTTTGCGGTTTATTTTCATTATAATGAGTACGTGAGAGGCCTTTATAACATGAGAGACCTTGTGTTCTATCATAGCACCCCTCAAAAAAACCAAGAAAGAATAATAATCATTTTAGTACTAATGAGATTATCAGTACTGCCTTCGGTGTTACTCCGCTCTGCCCCTACTGGGATTGAACCTAGGGGTTTGTACCTGCTAGGCAGGCACTCTACTGCTAGTTGAATCTCCAGCTGCTCAATATTACTTATTTTAAGATGAATTGGAAGTTTAGATAACACATAATGGGAAGTTTAGGAGCTAGAGATTCATATTAATCCTCTTAATCTACTAACTGAGAACAGGGGGGACTGGGTTGCACAAGTCAGTCCTGTTAAATTTTTTGGTTTTTTTTCATTTAGAATAATTTTTTGTTCAAAGCGTGGAAATTTACTTTTCTTGAATTGGATAAGGTTTGGAGTGCTAGAACTAATTCATATCCTAGAGACTTAAACTCAATTAAAATAATTTTAAAGCAGAGTCTCAGATTTTGGCTTACAAATTCATTTTATAATTGTAGCATTCTTCTTTGTTACCCCATTAAGAAATGACAAATCTGAAGTATGAATATGCTGAAATATGTCTACGCAGATCTATTCATTTACATGCTTCAGAGTTTTTTCTGCTTTAATATAAATTGCGTGGTTACCAACTTTTCCTTTCATAGCCATCCCCAAACAAACAAGCCTTGAAGGAAGGGTATTTAGAATTTCTTTTACTGAAGCGTTGTCTTTTTTGAACTCAAGGAGTGCTGAGCTACAGTCCCTCCTATTCCTGTGGTTTGTTATATTGTAATTAGTTAACTTATTTGTGAGATAGGTTCTCCTCTGTAGTCAAGATTGGCCTGGAACGCACCATGTGGCCCAAGCTAGTCTTGAACTTGTGATGTTCCTGCTTCAGCTTGTGGAGTAACTAGGACTGCAGGCATGTGTCACTTCTCCCTTCTTTATTGTTTGTCTTTTAGTACATTTAACACAGTGCCTTTGTGTTCATTCATCTGTTAAGCACTTCCAAAAGTGTAAGTTTCTTAGACGACTTATACATTAGGTGGGTGCAATTAATAATTGGGAACGAGTGATGGTGGGTCCTTTTCATAATGAGATTAGAAAATGATCTCATTATGAGCTCCAGAGTTGTGTCTGTTAAATGATCACCTGTTGAAGATGATGAATTCAGTGGAATGGTTAAGCATCTTTCATATTTTTTATCTCTCAAAAAACCCTGTAGTTGACAATTTATCTTTCAGAGGAACTTGTTACCTGCATTTATTATAAAATATATAATTACTGTAATTAGGGTTGGTAATTAGGAAGAAGTTGTCAAATCATGGACATTATAGTTATGGTATACTGGAGATAAAGAAGCCTGATTTGTAGTACTACTTGGGTAAAATGAGCTCCTAAATACCCAAATACATTTTTCTCAGTTTAATGTTCCTTAAAGGGAAGAGAATATCAGATTTTTTCTGAGGAGTGTTTATGCATAATTTTAACTTATTCTTTATAACGTAATCTGCTTTGTACTAATAGAGTTAAATTTAAAGGTTTTTATTTTCTCTTGAACCCAGTCAAATTAAATTAGACCTTGCAGGTGCTGGTCCATTTCTGTGGAACATGTTGGTGGTGTTGATGTTAAAGATCCTTTGATTATGCTTTCATAGGATCACAACTTCCCTTTCTGTTTTTGGGTTTAGTGAAAGATACTGGCCTTTCTGAAGTGATTACATAGTTTTTCATATATGCTATAACTTTTTATAATTGATTAAGATGAGTGTTTGAATAGCTGTGCTATTTTTTAAAACATAACTACTACTTAACTTACAAGATATTCACTCTTTAGTAAAGATGTTAACGTTACACAGATGGTAAGCAGATTACTTTGATTTTTTAATAAGGGACTAGTAAATCAAAGAGATTCTCCACTTCTGCTGTGAAACCTGTAATAGAGAGTAATTTGAAAGGCACACAATTCCTATCATTATAATCCTTTGATGTAGATTAATGATAGTGAAATCACATTTTCTAATTACTTCTCTTTTCCATAGTTTATTATTAAATTTTAAGGAAAATTTGGCTAGGCAGTGCCTTAGTAACCTGTGCACATCTTTTCCTTGATATTTTATGTTGTACTCTGAAATATTTAAATTCAGAGAATTAGAATTTCTTTTAAATTTCATCATTAAAAAATTTATTATGTAGAGGAAAGTTAGTATTTTTATTCCTGAAATGAATGTGATAATTTATTATGTTTAGAAGCATTCACTTGTTAAAAAGTAGTGTAGCTGTTAATAGTATGATTTTTGTTTTAGTGACAGTATTGTTTTTGGTTTTATAGTTTTGTATGAGAGATGCTGCATACAATTCAGAAATTCACAGTCATGTTTCCAGTTGTGGGCCTTGCTTAAAATAATAGCAAGTTAGATAATTAAAACCTTCAGCAGAGCTATTATTACTGTATTATCAGTAAAATTGCTGTGTACACATAAATTACATGAGCATTTACTTTCTTGAATAACTTTTTTATCTGTTAAGAAATTATGTACACCTGAATATGAAATCTGTTGTCCTTTTAGTTTTAGTGATTTTAGTCAGCTAAATGTGTTATTACTACTGATAAGCTTTAGCTTTCCTTTATGTGGCCAATTCTCTGTTTTGTAAGGATTATAACTATTGAGGATTTCAGGATTTGAATGATTCTTAAAGGGAAATGTTGTCACTTGTGTTTAAGAAATAAATTTTTAAAAATCAAATACAAGTTTTTACAGATTTACCTGAGGATTAACCTTTAAGTCTTTGTAATCCTGAGTCTGTCTTAAAAAGTAATCTTGGTAACATTTCATTTTGACCTTTCCTCTGGGCTTGAGGTTATATAAGAAATGGCTTAGGTTTGAAATCTACTTACCACAGCAAAAAGAAAAAAAAAGAGAGACCTTGTTGAATTTAGACGTAAAATCCCTCTGTGAGTGGATACCGCATTCAGATCGTTGGGATTTCCAAGCGTCTGTCTCAGTAGCACTTTGTGGATACAGTGATGGTGTTCAGCTTTGACATGGGAAGGACGGAGCAGCGTCTGCTTTTATCAGGATGAACACGTTGCTTCTAGCTGTTCCATGGCTTTACTGCTATAAGGCTATGTTCTGGCTTCAGCAGGCAGACCTGTGATGTTTTTAGAGTATACTTTGACGGATTGATTTTTTCATTTGTTGTAGGCAGATCACATCTGAAGTTCCTATGGACTGTATCTTCATCCCCCATACTTAAAATTAATTTTGATGTCTCTTTTATAAATAAAAGACACATTGCTCTTTTCTACCCTCAGATTCTCCCCCTTGCTTCGAACAAACTTAGCTTGTCATTCTTGCCACTGTTGGAAGCAGCTCTAAAAGTTTCTTCATGAGTGTCTTTAATTGAGCTATTATGGCTGACTTGGCGTTATGAATTAATTCAAAACATTTATTGTTCACGGTTGTTTTGACTTTGGGGAAGGGCCAGAAGTTCAGTGATGCCAGATCTGGTGAATAACATAGTTGGGGACACGCTGTAGTGTTTTTATGAAGTCATTGGAAGCAGTATTAGACATGAAAGAGCACTTCAAAAACTGCTTCAGAAAGTGACAGGAACAGTGGGATATGTGTTCAAATTTGGGGAAGAGGGGAGTATTTTGAGGACATTAATGTCAATTTATATTATTGTAATGACTTAAAGTTTATAACACTTGCCATAAATTTTGATAATAGTGGTATACCCAATAGTGGGATAGTTAAACCATGTGATATTTGTGTTCTAGTTTTTGTATCAAGCCTTTAAAAAGAGATGGGTATTGTATTTTGTCTTTTTTTTTTTTTTTTTTTTTGGTACTGGGGATTGAACTCAAGACCTTGCACTTGCTAGGCAGGCACTTATGCCACTGAGCTATATCCCTGGCCCTTTTTTTCTGTATTTATGGAGACTATCATATGGTTTTCCTTTGGTTTGTTGATACAATAAATATTTATTTTCAAATGTGTCTTTAAACATCAAGCATTAATGTCTTCTACTTATTCTACAGCTATCCTTTCCTCCCCCCATGTGCTGCCCTCCCCCCTTTTTAATGTATTTGGTACAGGGTCTCACTACACAGCCTGGACTTGTAGTGATCCTCTTGTTTTCAGCCTCCCCAATGCTGGGATTACAGGCATGCACCACCATGCTCAGACACTCAGTAGCCAGGGATTGAATCCTGGTCCCTTCGCTTGCCTAGGCAGACGCTGAGTCTGCTGAACTAGCTCGCTGGTCTATCTCACTGATCCCCCTGCCTCCATTTTTTAAGCGTCGCTTTTTCTCTTTAATTTTGGGTTTTTTTTTTTGTCTTCAGCTTTTGTCTACTCTTGGTGAAATATGTTTTATACTGTTGTCTGCTGTACCTCTGATCTCTAGAACACTGTCTAGCACAAAGTAGGACTGTTAACTATGTGTAGAATGCGCAGCTGAGTGCCCACTCTGGAAATGGGCGTAAGCTAGTAGAGAAAGAGCTATGCAAATGGAAGGTGACAGACTTCAATAGAACTACAAACAGAATTCTTTGGAAGCTCACCATGAGTGAGACTGATCCTTTTAACTGATTACTTTCCTTTCTTTCTGTTAGATTTGGAAGATGATACATCTAGGACAGATTTATTTAATGATGAAGAAAATAAGAAAAATTCAATAAAAATGTGGTTTAGTCCTCGAAGTAAGAAGGTCAGGTATGTTGTGAGGAAAATTTCTGTGCAAACCCAACCTCAGAAGACAAAAGATGAAAATGCTGAACAAGCCTCAGTGTATGACTTTGTTTCTGCAACTCCTCCTACAGTTGTTTCTAAGAGTACTATAAAAGCTTCTAAAACATCTGCAAAGAAACGCAAAAAGAAAACTTTAGCTGAAATTAATCAAGAATGGAATTTAGTCACAGAGAGGGAAGGTGATGAACTTGACCCCAAAGACGAATTTAAGGAAAAGCAGGTATCCTTCTGTAGCCAGCCAGCCATTATTGGTAGTCCGCAGGTAAATGGTGAAGTAGACTTACTAGCAAGTGGCTCAGTAACAGAATCTGAAAGTTGTGCAAGCTTCATTGAAGCCTTTCTACCATTGGCTGAGCATATAGAATCTCCAGACAGTGACCACAAGAATGAAGTGACTCCTGAGAAAGTCTGTGAAAATGATCTTACTTCTGAGATATCTTTGCCATTAGGTCGTAGTGGAAAACGTGGACCATGCAGCAGACTTTCTCAGTCCGTTTCTAAGAAGTGCAGAAGCAGTATTCCAAGCACCAGTGAAGATGTTGGGCAAACAGTGCTCTCAGAAAACATGTCATTGCTTGACTGTTCACCACCAGCTTCGAGCAAACTTAAGGCTGGTGACACATTAAGGAAGGAAAATGATGATGTATCAGATGACTCCGCTAGTCTGTCACCATGTACGCTACCTTCTACACTGAATAGTTCCAGTTATAGGAGACTGATGTCAAGTCCCTCAGCAGTGAAATTGTCCCAGCCTGACTTCATGGCCAGGAAAAGAAATCATAGAGGAGAGACTTTACTTCATATTGCTTCTATAAAGGTAAGCTGCTTATTCAGATATATAGAATGAAATTGTTAGCTTTCTATTACTGTTACAGATACCTGCGGGGGTCTGCTAACAAAAGGTTTATTTGGTCTATGGTTTTGGAGCCACTTTTCTGTGGCTGTCTGACTTCATGGCACAGCACTCGTGGCAGAGTATCATCGTAATGCAGGATGAAACAAAACCCATCACCTCGTGGCCAAGAACAGAAGAGGCGAGGAGGAGGAGGGCCAGGGTCCTACTTTGCCCTTCAGGGCTGTGCCCTAGTGACCCAAAAGCCTTCTACCACCCTTCGTATTTCTGATACTGTCGTTCTGGTGATCATGTCTCCAACACAAGAGGCTTTGAGGGACATTGCAAATGAAAACTATAGTAGTGACCATCTGTAGAGCACTTTGGGGATTGTGAGAATTGGGCTAAGATTACTGCTGCAGATATGACACTTCCTGTTTGCTAGCAAAGCAGACTTTGCAGAGCCTGCCTGTTTACCACAGTACAGTGGCCCCTGGCTCTAGGAAGCAAGATCTGGTGGGAGAAAGCCAACAGTTGATTATTTTGTATTTCCTTTGCCAAGTGCTTTTGCCTCTGTCTGTTGTTGACCGACACTTTCTTTGCATAAAAATGAATATAGGCAAATGTTACTGTGCTGAAATACTTTTACCTAACAGAAGAACTAGAGGCAGTGGGAAAGGGCTTAAGCTTCTATTTGATGTTCCCTGTAGGCACCCCTGTATCTGGATGGATAGATGAAGGGGTGTGTCCAGTTCTCCAGTGACCCAGGCATTTTTCCATTGGAAATGTCTCCTGCAGTTTGCAAAAAGATGCTGCTAGTCCTGCACCTCCAGTCAACCCTTTTACTTGACTGTTTAGTGAAGTTCATTCTCTCCTATTATTGCTTCAGCATCTGGTGATCCTGTTCTTCTCTGGAGCCTGACCTGTTTCTCTGAGCAGGAGGGCCACTGGCAGGGGTTAGTCTTTGCAGTACAGCCAGTGAGAGGGAGCGGGAAGAACTACAGCCTTTTAGACTGTTAGACTGCTCTGGACTTTGTCAAAGTGTTAGGAAAGTATCATGTAGTGGTACTTAATGTGACATTGGTGTAACTTTTATGTTCTCTTGTGACATTGCATGGTAGATTCACCCAGGAAATCCCTGGGATTTGGATAGGATAGAATTGTGAGGTTTGGAAAGAAGGAGTTTTGAAGGCCCCTGAATGTGAGGCTGGCGGGGCAGCATAAACAGAAGGTGTAGTAGCCACTGAATGTGGCCCACTGGTTTCTCTTTTTGTGTCTCAAAGGGGAAAAGCACAAAAATGAGTGTCTCCCAACACTCAAAAGGATTTTTCTCCCTTTTATTCCAAATTAATACAGTGAACTTAGTACCGATGCCAGTGGGCAGAGGGGAGAATGTGTCACTGGCCCAGCTGAGGGTCTCGTGGGAGGTCCTTGGGCAACTCAAGTTGTTCAGTTGGCTCTGGTTTTATTGTGATTTCTGAAAAGCATGACTTAGAAGGCAGTCTTTTTTTATTCTTTGAATGGATGAATAAGTATATTCACAAACTGTTCTTAATCTTACAGTGTTTTTGATAATTTTACAGATGTAAGTAGTATAAAATTTAGTATTTGGTTTCTGTGTTTTGCTTTCTGGAAATTTTCATAGCACTGGCCAAACATCTACTTAGGTTAGTCAGAAAGTCTTCTTCCAACTATAAGAATGATTTATCTTTTCATGATGCACACTTATAATCCCACCACTTGGGGTAGGAGGATTCCTGTGAATTTGAAGCCAGCCAGGGCTACATGGAGAGTTCAAGGCCAGCCTGAACTACATAGTGAAATCCTGTCCCCAAAAAATCCTTCTAAATGAGGTTCTCTAGACCAATAGATGGAGAGAGGGAAGAGAAATGGAGAGGGGTGAAAGGAAGAATTAAATATATTATGTACATGTACCAACTCCCTGTGGTGAATTTAATCATTACTTACTGCAACATGTATTAATAAAAGTTAAAAGTAAAAATAAATTAGTATCTCCATAGCCTAGAGTTTAGGCCAGAGTTTGGTAAACTTTTTTAAGGATATGTGTCTATGTCAAAACCGTTCATTTCTTCTATCCTAGAGCCATATATACACCATTAAAGCTCATAGAAAATCAGGTGACTGGCCCAAGGGCCATAGTTTGTGTTTCCTTGGTCTAGAGATAGAAAACAGCTACAAGAGGGTATTAAGAAAATTTGGGACACCACTGAGTTACAGGATGTTACAATACAGGTTCTCCTGTGTCCTGAGTCCTCACTGACCTTGAAAGGCTAGGGCCAAAATGTTGGCTGTCCTTGTAGTCCTTCTTTTTCTCTAATTTTTGGTCTGCAAACTTAAGTTGTTAACCCCCTAGAAGAGAAGCTTAATGATATTATTACCCTATAACATAGGCAGTTGAGCTTAACCTCACTATCTGTCTGAATATCAAACATCTTAGACATAATGTACTAATAGTGGTTGGACAGGATATCATCCCTGCATCTTGTACTATGAATAATACTATGAAGACAACAATATGCAATATATTAATTATCGTAACTGTCTTACTAACCTGTATTGAAACTGTCTCATTGCTGTTTCTCAATAAAATTAATTTTTTAAAAAAGAAAAAAAATAGAATATTTTTCTATTTATTCTAAAAATAGAATAAGAGAAATAGTGGCATGATGCTCTTTTGGGGATTTTCTTCATTATCTACTCATGACTACTTCATACAAGTTTTATCAAATTGTTAGCTTACTTAAAAGGCTTGCCAGAATTACAGTTAGCCACTTTGAGCCAGGTGTGGCCATGCCTGTAATCTCAGCATTCTAGGAGGCTAAAAAGGAGGATCACGGGCTTTGTAGCCTAGGTTGGAGAACCTAGTGACTTAGTGAGACCCTGTCCCAATTTTTATTTTTTAAAGTTTGAGACAGTCTCACTATGCAGTTCAAGCTGGCCTTGAGCTCCCTTTGTAGCCCAGGCTGGTCAACAACTAGCAAAGATCTCCTGCCTCAGCCTCCCTTGTGCTGGGATTGCAAGCACGCACTCCGCACCCAGCTCTCCCAACATCTTGTTAAAAAGGGCTGATGATTTTTGTTAAATGTTGCCTAGTGCCCTTAACTACGAGATAAATTGTATTAAACACTACAAAATCATCTTGAGTCAGTTTGTGTAGTTAGGTTTCCCAGCACCTGTGGTTATCTGATGTTTAAACATTATAGAACTGTTCTCAAAAAGTTGGCAGTTTTCAAGACTATAAGGAAAAGAGGAAGGCTCGTCTACTTCTGTGTTTATCATTTCCTTTCTGTATATATAGTTGAATAACCTGCTTGGGTCTAATTTGCCAAGCTTGGATTCTTAATGCGTGTGCATCAGTACTCTCCTGTTTAGAGCTTAAAGCTACAGAAGCATTGTTAGCAATTGCTTGGACACTGAATTTTGAACTTTTTGACACTGTTAAGCATGTTCACCTTTTCTTGTCACTAGTTCAAGAAAAATCTGCTTGATGTCTACTACTAAAAGCTATTTATGTTTTAACCTATTTTTATGCCAGAAGCCCTCTATTTGTCCACAGTTTCCATAAGAACTCTTTAGAAAAGGGTTTGTTTGCTTTAATAAATACTGTTGTGTGGAAACAGGACAGTGAGAGCAAAGGGCAGAAGCGGGAAGAGCCTGCCGCGGAGCTTCTGGGGAAAGTGAGCTGCCACCTGAAATGGTGCACTATGAGGACTTGATCTTTCCTTAAACACAGTGTTTTCTTTTATTCACATGACTTCTTAGTGTGTTTTTCATACAGGACAGTTTTTCAACCTTGATGTACAGTGACTGTAAAACTGTGCTTTTAGTGGCAATCTGTAATCTTTAAGATAATGGTAAGCATCTTGTCGGTTTAGGAGGATATACGATAATAAATCTACTGGATGGAAAATCCTGCTAAAAAATGGAAATGTTTTAGTAATATACACATGTTACAATTTTTACCCTTTTTTCTTTTTTCTTCCTTGGTCTACAATGAAATTGTTATAGCAATGCAAAATAAAATCCTGTGTATAAAAATAAATAAATGAAGAGGGCTGAACTCACTGTGAAAATCCTGAGCAAAAACAAAACAAAAGTGTTCCTTTAAATGCAATCATTGAGGGCCAGCCAAATAGCTCAGTGGATTAAAGCTCCTACAAGCAGGCACAGGGGCCAGGGGTTTGATTCCTGCCTGGCCTGCCCTGCTGGCCCTGCCCCAGCAATTGAGAGTGGGCATGGCAATGTGCGCAGGCAGATCACTAGGAGTCCGGTCTAGTAGTGAGACCCTGAACACCCTGTAGACCCTTCCCTAAAATCCAAAAATAAATAAATAAATAAAAATAAATGTAATCATTGAACACTAATTTCTTCATCAGTTGTCAGATTTTAATACATTTAGAAAATCTCACTGATTTCTTTATTTTAAATCATGAATTAGTAGTGTTCTTTGTAAAAAAAAAAAAAAATTATATATCCTGTCTCCTGAGTTGGATTTTTTTTTTGTCATGCAAATGCTGGGAATACCGCCACCATCAACAAAAACAACAGTGGATTTGTCAGTACTATGCATCTTTTTAGAAATAATTTTCATCTTATTCTTATCCTAATTCTTTCATTTATAGCTAAGAATGAATCATCTTGATGTGCTAGGAAACAAAAACTGCAATTCTTTTGTTTTTTTTTTTGTGTGTGTTGTATATGCACCTTCTTCGTAAAGGATTTGAAAAGGTTTTAAAGTTGAAAGTACCATGAAATGTAACAAGGAGCAGGGAAAGAGCAGAGTACTGCTGCATAATGAATTTAGATTTGGTGACTTTTACAGCAGCCAAAGAAAATAGGGGGAAGTACCAGGTCTTTTTGCTTCCAAAAGATAAGGCTTTCCTTGGAAATGGTGGTTATAGCTATTTTTTTCTGAAGCAAATGGGATCCCTTATAGTTTTCAGAGTCCCATTTGTTGTTGAGTTTCAGGAGGCACCGGCCTGCAGTGGCAGGTGTACTGTGCTGGGTTAACTTTTCCTGCTGCAGGTTGAGCTTTCTGTTGCAGTCTCAGAACTGGGAAGGTTTTTACTAACATTCCTTAACATCTTGCTCCAAGTCTACTTGGACGTGTCATTTGGCCTTAACCTTTCCAAATTACCACCCTAGTAGCCACTGCTTCTCTTTACTTTCTCAGAATACCTTTGCTAGTTTGTTGTGGCTTCCAAATCAAGCCATCATAGACTTAGTGACTTTAAAATGTCCACATTAATTTTCTTAAGGTTCTGTAGGTCAGAAGTCTGGCTTGGGTTTCATTAGGCTGCCATCAGTCTGTCAGCTGCTAGTTTGTGCATACTCTAGGTAGGATCAGTTTTCCTGCTCACGTGGGTGGTTGGCAGGCAGGACATAGTTCTTGTGGTTGGATGGAGAGCCTGTGTTGACTTCGAGTTGAGGGCTCTTTGGAAGTTTTAGAGACAGTCACGTCACATTCCTTAGTTGGTAGCCTTTCCTTTTTGTTTTGCTTTATTTTTTTGAGACAGGGTCTCACTATGTAGTTTAGGCTGCCATTGAACTCACTGTGTAGCCCAGGATGGCCACAAGCTCACTGTGATTTTCCTGCCTCAGCCTCCAGAGGTGCTGGGATTGCGGCCTGTGTCACCCCATGCCTGGCTGGTGACCCTCTTCCTTCGAATTCAACAGTAATAACCTGAGTTCTTCTCATGTCTTTTTTTTTTTTTTTGAGAGAGAGAGGAAAGAGAGAGAGAGCGAGAGAGCGAGAATGTTAGAGAGCAAGCCCAGTAAAAATGATACACCATTCCAAAACAAGATGATGGGAAATTAACAAGTTATTATATATTCAAAGTAGTTTTTCAGATTACTAGGTACAGGAATGCAAAATTGATCAAACAATATAAGCACTAACTGCCTTTCAATGAAATAATAGAAATTAGTAGTACAATTATTATAGCTATCATGTATGTGTGTCTCTGTGTGTGTATATATATATATTTTTTTTTTCTTTTTCCTTCCTTTTCTCCTTTTCCCCATCCCAGTTGTTCTTTCCTTTTGAGCAGTTTCTTTCCCTCTCACTCTATCTATTGTACTTTTTTGATCCTATTCAAACACTTTCAGTTTCTTACACTGGGGAGATAATAGAAAGTTTACACATGTGAGTCTGATTTATTTCACTTGTGAGTATGGTCTCTAGTTGCATCCATTACCTATAAAAGCCTCGAGTTTATCTTTCTTTATAGCTGAGTAGTACTCCATTGTATAAAAATGCTGTATCTTTTTTATCCATTGCTCAGTTGATGGGCATTGGGGTTGTTTCCAAGATTTAGCTGTGACAAATTGTGCTGCTAATTCTGTACATAGAGGGAATGCTCTGTGCTTTCCAAGACTCTTGTGATTAGACTGGAGGCCACCTGCCCAGTGCAGCATCAGCGCCCCGTGACTTTGTGCACTGAGTCATGCTGCAGTATTCCTTCTGCCCTGTGAGCTGACATAGGTGCTGGGGCTTCGGGTGTGCCCCTTTGGGGGGACCCAGACCACTGAAGTCATTCCTGGTAGCTCTCCCTGCTTTCCTTCTGAACTTCTTGGAGACAGTTTCCTGTGTGACAGCAAGAGTGTTTAGACCTAAATCAGAACTTGGAAGTTCTGTGCCACCTACCCAGTCTGTAACTGTTGATATCCCTATTGTTCGACTATCTATAACCCATGTTCCTACTTGAATATCTGTTGCAGTTAAAATATTATTAAGAACATGTAGCACAAGGTCCTCAGTTCAATCCCCAGTACTGGAAAAAAAAAAAAAAAAAGAATGTCTTATTGTGAGTATATGAGAAAGCCTTGTAAGTAGAAAGTAAGTTAAGCATTAATATTTTTCTAATGTAATAATAATAAGGACACAAAAATTTTCTGTTTTCTCTTATGTCACCATTGCTTGAGCGTTTGTAGGTACTGGAATCTCCCTCTATCATTTCTCTGGCACAGATTCTTAACGTGACAACGATTACTTACAACTCGTACCACAGTTGTGAACTCACTGTGAAGTAGAATAGCTTGCAGTAGAATGTGCCATGGTGTGTTTGTGGTACAGACAATTGATTATCCTGTGAGGGGGTAAGGTCTTTTAAAACAGAACAAAGGTGACAGAGATCTCCTGAGTAGAAAGTCTTATGTCTACTTCGGACCCTAACTTTGTAATTCATTGTAGCTTCCAGCAGTTGTGTTGTTATTATGCATCCTTTATAGTAGCTCCACAGGAAAGTAGCAAAGGACACAGAACCAAACTGGCATCAGGGTTATGTTAAGATTTTCATTTTTGGAACACTCCTTGGAGCAAGTACAATATCCACCTTTTCCACTTACTCACCCCCATGTAGAAGTCTGCTTTAGTAATACTGGTAATACTGTAATGTTGGTAGAGTAGTGTTAGATTCCTCTATGGAATTAGTTTTGTTCAGCAAATTCTGACTAAGAAGTATTTAATAGTTCTATGAGAGAGAGAGAGAGAGAGAGAGAGAGAGAGAGAGAGAGAGAGAGAGAGAGAGA